GTAGACGTAGATATATTAAGTGATTCCATAGAATTTGTTAAGCAATGTCTGGGCGACTATCTGTCTTCATGATTGAGTGTTCGTGGCAGACAATATTCTTCGCTACAGCAGTTAGTCGGTTTCCCAGGTACACGAGGAGACTTGTGGCTTTGTCAAATGCAAGCAGACGCTGCCTTGCTTTTGTTTCAAGAAAGTGAACCGCCAGTCAACATATGTGCCAGTGAGTCAGTTGTCAGAACACTCCAGAGGAATGATATTTTCTTCTAAAAAATCACTATTTGTACAAAAACACTAAACCAACCACGAGGTTCCCTCTACCTACATTTGGAGAATTTAGTTAGTTTTTCATAAAATTTTCCTCCACTCGGTCGAATTATGAACATATTCAATAAACCAAAATGCCAAAGTATAGAATTAACACTGACAGCCTTAAGGAATCATCCCAGAATAGTTCTTAACGACAAATGCACCTGTAGACACACATAAAACGGACGATGTTCATTTACACTGCTCAGGGGCCGATTGACTCTTCATTCTTGTTTATGACTGTTTTCATCTATATTATATGTTTTTTTTTCACTGTCCACTAAATGAATAAGTTCATAAGTTACGCGCACCGCATATAATGTATTCCATGAAGAGCAAGACGGAAAGCGTACGTTGAGGATGATGTGGGGTGGAGGGAGGTCTTCTATGTGTTAAATAAAATAGATTTTGAGAACACGCTTAAATAAATCGAGCGTTGGGTTGCTGGACAACATGGATCATTAGGCAAGGCCTCTACAACCAGATATGTTTAAACAAGCGTCAGTGAATACAAACACACATTGCAACTCTCAGCTGGTATCAGTTAGTAAATGCTCAAAGTGTTGTTAGTCACCACAAAACACTCATTTGACACTCTGGGTGTACACCACATTGGGTGACCAGGGGAGATTTATCTCTATGATAATATAAAACAAGGCTGAACCATTGGCTGACACAGTGGACACTTGGGTTAGGTCATCCGAGAGGATAAAGCTTTTGCCTCCTGTCCCAAGGGTAAGTGGTTCACGTTCAGGTCACCCCTACTTCATCCAGTTGTAAAAGGATACTTAACTGTTCAATCAAGAAAACAAGGTATTTGAGGGCAGTGCCGGCCACGCTGACTCCTCGTGTACCAAAGGCTTAATTAAGGTCAGTCCAGACTAGAAAACTTTGTTTGCAAATTTTTCTTGCAAACAGTTAGCAAACATTTATAGAACATTGTTTCTGAAATGTTTGCAAACAGTTAGCGAACCATTTGTAAACGGTTTGCAAACAAAGTTTAGCGTCCAGACTTCAGTTCTCTTCAGAATGTCGGTCAGTGAAGACGATGTGGCAGAAGCCTGTGCAATTTACATAGTGATGAATTCAGCTTGAGGCCGTTGTTCACACCTGGCAGTTGGGTCGGTGTTACTAGTTGGAAGACTTGCATCAAGGGTTTAGGGTCAAGGTCAAATACGCAGGTGAGCAGAGGTAAAGACTCCATTCAGTTTAAGTCGTGATGGAGGATGGTGGTGTGGGGCAGCTCGCCTCTAACCTCTTAGATATGCTCTATAGCCGTCTACCAACCATTCACAAGGCTCCTCAGGGGATACGTCATCATGGATGGGCGGAGCTTCTACTTCAGCATACATGTGGTAATATGTAGAATTGTAGAATAATACTGGTCATTTTTCATGAGAGAAACAGGCTTAATCACCGTTCATCCCAACTATCAAAGGGAAGTACTACCGTCTGGGAAGATATTAGAAGCATAATGTATTGTCTAATGGTAGACCCTGCTGCCATATGGCGCCACGAAAATTGTGACCCAGTCCCAGGTTGTTGATCTGACTTTCTGCCTCATTTACACTACACACAAATGCAGGGTCTCAAGTGTTTCTCTTACTTTAACAACACAACATACACATATTGTTTCTCACTATTGATCTGTTTTTATAATTTTTATTTATTTACGGGCTTTTATTATTATTATTATTATTATTATTATTATTATTATTATTATTATTATTATTATCTTTTCGCCCGCAGGGCTAATCCGGTAAAAAAAAGGTGTCACTTTGGTCCAATATTCTGAAATTATTAGTTTGTGGATAAATAAGTAGGAGCAGTAATAATCAAAGTTATGAATGTTATTGACTAAACAGGTATGAATGTCAAAGGCGGGGATACACTACTCGCCTACTGTTCCAAGGGCAGCTGGATCATGTGTGAGACAACCACGGCCAGATCACACAACCTCTGAATGAGTTCATAATTTTACAAATGTACAGCTCAACTGTCTCCTTAGGTACCAAAGACTATTTCCACCACAGTGTTCTGAACTGGCCAGCTGGTTTTTTGTGATTTAGTTTCACGGTAAACTCTGATTACTTATGGGTCACCGGGTCAGTGTATTACCGAGTACTTGCCTTTTAATTCATTCTTAGGATACATACAGTTAATATGTAAGTTTATAAGAAATAGTCGTAGTGTTTATTGAAGATGAAGCACACGAACAATGTAAAGTAATAACACTGGACCTACTGTCAGGGTTAATGTTAAACAAAAACAAAAATCATTATAACACACCAAAAACACTTTACAAATCATTACATAATAAGTTCTTAGAAAGCTCAACCAGTCGAGTGATATTGAAAATGTATTAAACGGGAGAGAGTTGACCTTCGCCTCCACCAGCACTCTGTTGAAAGATCAATAGTTTAGAGTGCGTTGTGTTGATGAATGATTATTGTGACCTGCGCGGCGTGTTGGTGATGACCAGTAATGAGTGTCACCCAATAACAGATGTTCACCGACGCTGAGTATCACAAAAACATTATTGTCCACCAGCGAGGTTTGATGGTCCTCGCTCCTGATTCCCGCTGATTATGCCGGCATTTTTATGTTCCCTAAAAAATATGATTACTACAGCCAGACACGATAGTCTCACAGCAACTTCCACTTTATTTTGGCAGCCTTATACATTAACTTCAGTGAACCAGACAGATAAGTTCCCGTATTTCTAGAGTGGAGGTTTGAGGCGTGGAGCAGTGCTGGCTGTCCTTCAGTGCTGTATGATGGTGAATCAGGCTGGCTAAGTGTAATGGTGAACCAGGGTACGTGTAATGGTGAACCAGGTTAGGTGTGATGGTGAACCAGGCTAGGTGTGATGGTGAACCAGGCTGGGTGTGATGGTGAACCAGGTTAGGTGTGATAGTGAACCAGACTGGGTGTGATGGTGAACCAGGCTAAGTGTGATGATGAACCAGACTAGGTGTGATGGTGAACCAGGCTAGATGTGATGGTGAACCAGGCCAGGTGTGATGGTGAACCATGCTGGCTAGGTGTGATGGTGACCAAGGCCAGGTGTGATGGTGAATCCGACCAGGTTTATACAGTAATATTTAAGTTATTCTTCTGACTGATCTTTGGCCAAACTGTGAGAGTGAACAAGCCTTGGGTACACCAGAGCTACACACTGATGTATTGCCCAAAACAAACATGACTTATTGTATGTTTCTCAGTGACAATTTACACCCTCATAAGACTTGTGTGTAGACGAGTGTATAATACTTAATACCACCGATAACTTCATAAAGCAGTGACCTCAAACCCTAATATATGAAATTCACTCTAAAAATAATAATAGGTTAACATATCAGAAGTAATGTAGATAACATGTCTCTCCTCGATCAATAGTGTTATTCTATAGTGTTATTAATCTTATTCACGGTTAATGCTCTCTCTCCTTCACTAATATATTATACATTACGCAATATATTCACTTCTATTTATTCGCAAATCAATGAATTCAATATGCCAGACGACAGAACCTGCCTGCACACCGCCTTGGCCAGAGAGAAAAGGCAATTGTGAAAGAGGTCAGGGGGGGAGGGTAAGTTATAATCAAACATGTTCCAATATTCTACCTTACAGAAAAAATCACACACATTCATATTAAATAAAATATATTTGGTATTTGAATATTCTTGACACCAATATTCCTTATATTTTCACAATTGTACAGATATAACAAACAATATCTTCTTATTTAATCACAAAATAATTCCAGGCTTCAGAAAATGGGAAGTACAGAGAAACTATAAATATTTATTCTATGGGTAATTAAATAAATTATATTCGTCGACTAAAGAAAGGAAAAGTAAAGGAATAACATTAACACTAGATAATATTGTCCAACAGTGAGAACAATACTAATGGGGGTGGACAGTGTAATCCCTCAATACTAACACCAGAGGAAGCATCTAAACCTATAACACGGTGAAGGGCATACATACAAAGGTACACAATAGTAAACGAACAAACACATATTCACAGACATAATAAACACACACACACACACACACACATATTTACAAACATTACGGTAAACACAAACACAAATCTCAAACACAAGTTATAAAGTGATCGAAGACAGACCTCAATATCGACATTGGCAAACCTTATCTCCGACCCATGCAGCTGTGGCAGGTGTCCCGCATTGTGTCACCCTGAATCTCTCTCTATCGTTCCAATATCTGGCACAAGATCACAGGGCCAGCAGCTCTCAGAAATTATGACAGATTCTAATTGGATTTTCGGCTGTTTTACTATCTCCTACCGCTGGTAACTACATCAAGACAAGACCTTAATGTTTTTTTCCTTTTATTTTCCCCAAAGGCCCACAAGATATAGTTTACACTCTTCTTCATAACTGTAGGAAATTTGTTACATCTGACTTTGTTGATCTTATTTTAACCATTCATCAGGGGCCTTATACGGCTGACTATTTATAAATAAAAAGATTATATATTTCCATATCATGTAAGAGTGTTTCAACATGACCTAATAATTATTAAGGATGAAATTTATAATGCAGAAAAAGTTTCAGATCCTGTTATACGGAAGCCTTTCAGACACATCGATGCAGTGGTTCATTTTGTAAATTCTGTCTCATTTTCTCTCACTCTGCAGTATATATCAGGAGTACTCACATGACAAGTGTCGGTAAGAGGCACAGCACCGCCGTCGCCCACCACCACAGTCAACCAGTAGCCACGCGCCGCCTCCCGGTCCAGCACCACCACCGTCCTCACCACACCTGTAAGTAACATAACAAACTTAGTAATGGCTGCTGCTGATCTGTGTGTTTGTACACATGTTGGTGCATAATGTTTGTTCGTTATGTTTGTTTGGTAAACTTGAATGTCTTTGACTGTGAATTACACAAATATCCCTCAAACAATACAGGTAATTTAAAGAAAATAAACAAATTGTCACCAGATCTTACTTAAACAAAACTAAAGATCACACACTTGTATCCTGATTTAAATATGTAAACAGTCCCTAAGTGTCAGCTACCAACGTTATAATAGAGAGTAAACCGAGTTAACTTGTGGGTAAAATTATAACACGTGACAATATCACCTTTCCGTATACAGCAACTATCACAGTATAGACACAAACCATAATATTGAAGTTTGTTAAGTTTTTATGTTGATATTGTGTTTGTTACTGTTGTATGATGTTGTTGTAGTGTGTTAGTGTTGCATGATGTTGTTGTTGTAGTGTGTTAGTGTTGCATGATGTTGTTGTTGTAGTGTGTTACTGTTGTATGATGTTGTTGTTGTAGTGTGTTAGTGTTGTATGATGTTGTTGTAGTGTGTTAGTGTTGCATGATGTTGTTGTAGTGTGTTAGTGTTGTATGATGTTGTTGTTGTAGTGTGTTAGTGTTGTATGACGTTGTTGTTGTTGTAGTGTGTTAGTGTTGTATGGTGTTGTTGCTGTATTTGACTGTATGATGTTGTTGTAGTGTGTTAGTGTTGCGTGATGTTGTAGATAATTGTGTTAGTGTTGTATGATGTTGGTGTTGTGAGTGTGTTAGTGTTGCATAGTGTTGTTGTAGATAGTATGTAAGTGTTGCGATGTTGTTGTAGTGTGTTAGTGTTGTATGATGTTGTTGTGGTGTGTTGGTATTTGTTATGATGTTGTTGTGAGTAATGTTAGTGTTTGTGCGATGTTGTTGTAGTGTGTTGAGTGTTGTATGATGTTGTTGTAGTGTGTTAATGTTGCGCCAAATGTTGTTTGTGGTGTGTTAGTGTTGTATGATGTTGTTGTAGTGTGTTGGTGTTGTATGATGTTTGTTGCCAGTGTGTTAGTGTTGTTGTATGATGTTGTTGTAGCGTGTTAGTGTGTTGTATGATGTTATTGTGGTGTGTTAGTGTTGTGATGTTGTTGTGGTATGTTAGTGTTGTATGATGTTGTTGTAATTATTGGTGTTGTATGTTGTTGTGGTATGTTAGTGTTGTATGATGTTGTTGCAGTGTGTTAGTGTTGTATGATGTTATTGTAGTGTGTTAGTGTTGTATGATGTTGTTGTAGTGTGTTAGTGTTGCATGATGTTGTAGATAGTGTGTTAGTGTTGTATGATGTTGTTGTAGTGTGTTAGTGTTGTATGATGTTGTTGTAGTGTGTTTGTGTTGCATGATGTTGTTGTAGCGTGTTAGTGTTGTATGATGTTGTTGTAGTGTGTTAGTGTTGTATGATATTGTTGTAGTGTGTTAGTGTTGCATGATGTTGTTGTAGTGTGTTAGTGTTGCATGATGTTGTTGTAGTGTGTTAGTGTTGCATGATGTTGCTGTAGGTGTTAGTGTTGTAAGGCGTTGTAGAAAAGTTAGCGAAGGTGGCGATGTTGCTGGTAGTGTGTTAGTGTTGCGCGATGCCGCTGCGGGTAAGCGGTGCCGCACGGCGTTGTGATAGAAAAGCGGTACAGGTGATGCTGTTGTAGTGTGTTGAAGTGCGGTACGATGTTGTTGCAGATAGTACATGAGCAGTTGCATGATGTTGTTGTGAAAGTGTTAGGTGTTGTATGACGTTGCTGTAGTGTGTTAGCGTTGTATGATGTTGCTTGCGTGCTGCGTTGTATGATGCTGCTGCGTGTTAGTGTTGTATGATGTTGTTGTAGTGTGTTAGGTACAGGCGCTGATGTTGTTGTAGTGTGTTGCGTTGTATGATGTTGTTGTAGTGTTAGTGTTGTATGATGTTATTGTAGCGCAGGTTAGTGTTGTATGATGCTTTGTTGTAGCGTGTTAGGCGTTGTAAAGATTATTGTAGTGTGTTAGTGCTGGTATGACGTTGCCAGAAAGTATGTTAGGTACAGGCGACGTTGCTAGCAGTGTTTAGGTAAGCAGTGGTTGCAGTGCCAGTGCTGGCGACGCCGCTGCAGTGTGAAGCAGGTGCCAAAGATGCTGTTGTGAAAGTGCGTTAGGCGGTTGCATGTCAGTAGGCGTGCAAGCCAGCGTTGCATGACGTTGCTGCAGTGCGTTAAGTGCTTGCGCGATGTTGTTGTAGTGCGGCGTTGTATGATGTTGCTGTGGCGTACAAATGTTGTGGCGATTGCTGCCGAAAGTGTGTTAGTGTTGTGGCGATGTTGTTGTGGTGTTAGTGCCAGGCGATGTTGTTGTAGTGTGTTAGTGTTGTATGATGTTGTTGTAGTGTGTTAGTGTTGTATGATGTTGTTGTAGTGTGTTAGTGTTGTATGATGTTGTTGTAGTGTGTTAGTGTTGTATGATGTTGTTGTAGTGTGTTACTGTTGTATGATGTTGTTGTAGTGTGTTAGTGTGGTAAAGTTTGGTGTACGTGTAAGAGAGAACAAAGTTATTTTACTCTTGCGGACGTTAATGAGTGTGACACACGGACCCAGCTCAGGTTCAGTCGGATATTATGAGTTAATGGACACTACACCCAGGAGAAAAGTTTACAATTAAGTTATAATAAGATAAATCAGTAGATGGAGAGGGAGAAAGCAAGACTCACACTACTGGGGAATTTAGTGCCATGTGAGTATACAGGAAGACCTCACACAACAATTATGTCCAATGAGTTTATATTATCTCAAGTCTTTTACAGTAAACTAGATGCTTCAACTTGCTGAATCGTTTCAATATTCCTGTATTCTATTTAGTAATATATGGAGGCAAGTTTTATAACGAAAATAAATATATTTTCTGCATCTCTCCTCCAGAAATCGATATCAGGTCACTTTAAGATTCTCTTCTCCTTTGAAACTCTTTCTTCAAGACACTAAATTTTAATCCAAAGAATACCTTGACGTAATCGACTCCCAGATCCTGACCTGGAATGACCTTTCTTTCTCGTAGCGATCAAGGTGAAAATATGGTGAAGGTGATGGTGTGGTGGATAGTGTAGGCCAGGCACCACGTTGGAAAGATATGGTGATGGTGAGAGTGTGTCGAATGGTGCAGGTCAGGCACCACGAGGGAGAGGTGATGGTGATGGTGAGAGTGTGTCGAATGGTGCAGGTCAGGCACCACGAGGGAGAGGTGATGGTGAGAGTGTGTCGAATGGTGCAGGTCAGGCACCACGAGGGAGAGATATGGTGATGGTAATAGTGTGGTGGATGGTGTTGTAGGTTGAAGTCTTCGTGATCTCTTGACAATAAAGCCAATCTCGACTCACTTTGAGAATTTAACACCGACACCCACACCACCCCTACCCTCACCACCCCTACCCTCACCACATTACCTTCACCTACCCTCACACCTACCCCTCACAACATCATCACTCTTATCACCCATCACCCTGCCTACCCTCTACCCTACCCTCACCTCACCACCCTACTCCCCTACCCTCACTACCCTCCCTCACCCTACCCTCCCACCCCTACCCTCCACCCCTACCCTCCCCTACCCTCCCACCCCTACCCTCACCACCCCCCTCACCACCCCTACCCTCACCACCCTACCCTCACACCCCTACCCTCCCCACCCCTACCCTCCCCACCACCCCTACCTCACCACCCCTACCTCACCACCTACTCTCACCACCCCTACCCTCACCACCCCTACCCTCCCACCCCTACCCTCCCCGCAGCACTATCCTCACCATCTCACAATAACAAGCCTTTATAGTAGAGGTGAGCAAGGCTGCTGCAACAGCAGGTGTGGGTGAATGGCTGTAAATATTTCCTTCTCTTATCTAAAGTATAAGGAGTTAAGAGATGAAAATTGCTATATTTCCATTATAACCGAGTCTCATGACAGTTTTGACGCCATTTTCTGTACCATTTTTCTTGTTTTATCAATATGTGTGGAGGGTAGAGTTGAAGGATGTAACCATTGGTGGGTGGTGTGGAGGTGGTGGTACAGTGTGGAACAAGGAGACACGGTGCAGGGGTACACGGTGGTACAGTGGCTGATACAAGGAGACAGTGCGGGTACAGGGTGATACAGTACAAGGAGACAGTGCGGGTACAGGTGATACAGTGGCTGGTACAAGGAGACAGTGCGGGTACAGGGTGATACAGTGGCTGGTACAAGGAGACAGTGCAGGGTACAGGGTGATACAGCGGCTGGTACAAGGAGACAGTGTGGGGTACAGGGTGGTACAGTGGCTGGTACAAGAGAGACAGTGCAGGGTACAGGGTGATACAGCGGCTGGTACAAGGAGACAGCGCAGGGGTACAGAGGGTGATACAGTGGCTGGTACAAGGAGACAGTGCAGGGGTACAGGGTGATACAGTGGCTGGAACAAGGAGACAGTGCAGGGTACAGGGTGATACAGTGGCTGGAACAAGGAGACACGGTGCGGGGGTGATACAGTGGCTGGTACAAGGAGAATGCAGGTACAGGATACAGTGGCTGGAACAAGGAGACATTGCAGGGTACAGGGTGATACAGTAGCTGGAACAAGGAGACACGGTGCGGGGTACAGGGTGATACAGTGGCTGGTACAAGGAGACACAGTGCGGGGTACAGGGTGATAAAGTAGCTGGTACAAGGAGACAGTGCAGGGTACAGGGTGGTACAGTGGCTGGTACAAGGAGACAGTGTGTGGGGTACAAGGGTGATACAGTGGCTGGTACAAGGAGACAGTGCAGGGTACAGGGTGATACAGTGGCTGGTACAGGAGACAGTGCAGGGGTACAAGGTGATACAGTGGCTGGAACAAGGAGACACAGTGCGGGGTACAGGGTGATACAGTGGCTGGTACAAGGAGAGACAGTGCAGGGTACAGGGTGATACAGTGGCTGGAAAAAGGAGACACAGTGCAGGGGTACAGGGTGATATAGTGGCTGGTACA